AACAAAGAATTTTTATAAAAAAAAAAAAAAAAAAAAATATATATGTATATATATATATATATATATATATATATTTTCAACGTATCGTCGCAACAGTATAATTAAACTGCTTGTTAATATTGACAGGAAGATTGTTCTAAGAAGGTACCATAATGGAGAGTGGAAGTATCTTGAATACCCCAGGTAATTACCCTGGTGGGGATCGTCAACAGTTTTGCGTTTCCTGGAATTCTCATCAGTCGAATATGCACAGTGCGTTTCCTAAATTGTTAAGTTCCGAGCAATTTGTCGATGTCACTTTGGCTTGCGACGGAGGTTCGATAAAGTGTCACAAAGTGGTATTGTCAGCCTGTAGCGATTATTTGGAACGTTTACTGCTAGAAATACCATGCACCCATCCTATTATCTTTTTGAGAGACATGAGAATGTGGGAACTTCAAGCTTTGGTGGAGTTCATGTATCGTGGAGAAGTGTACGTGGAGCAACAGCAGCTGGCAAAGTTAATGCAGGCTGCTGAAGTATTACAGGTAACGAGCGATAGATTTGCTTTGCTATTTCCACGAATACTTATATTTATCCGACGAAGTAATTTTTGAAAAATGCACGGAACGGTGCATCGATCGATCCCGATCTGACGATAATATATTTTGCTCTAGATTCGTGGTCTATCGACCCAAGGAAACGATAACACTTTGAGCGAAACTATTCCTCAACAGTGCGATTCGAATACTCCGTCGGCTGCTCCATCTACTACCACGCAGCAGGATGGAATCAATTTTAAAACGGAGGAAACTCATTCGGACGACGGAACATCGAATGCTAATTTTCTGGAGGCTACGTCGATCGCCGCATCTAGTACAGCCAGTGCGCCATCGCACACTAGCACTCCGGTGTCGCAGAACCCAAATTCGTCGAATTTTATGAACATGGAGCACAGCGAAGCGCTCCAACATTTGGAAAAAGCGCTCAGCGCTTGCGAAGCGACTCTAACCGAGACCCAGGGAATGGTAAAGATGGAACCGGACGAGCAATTTACTCAGCAACAGGATGTAAAACCGTACTCGATCAGTATGGTACCGAGCAGTAATTGTAATCCTAGTAGCCCGTTTCCTGCAATCGAAGGTGAGAAACGAAACGAATATCCATCGCGTCGTAGTTCGAAAGAACAAAGATATCTAAACGCGAACGCGCAGAGGATCGGGGGTAGGCGCGTGCACCGTTTAATCGTCGTCTGCTTCACTCGTAGGTTACCAGAGACGACAAAGACGTTCGGAGGAAGAATTGAAACAAGCTTCGGACATGGTGGCACGTGGTATGACGTTTCAAGTTGCTTCGGAAAAATATAAAATTCCGATAAGTACGATTCGATTCTACATGGTTCGAAAAGGTATATTGCAAAGGCGAAAACGCGGTCGTGGTTCAAGCAATCTTGGCATGAACAGTCAGCCAGGAAGCCCGGCAAGTCCGCCGTATCATATGATGAATTATCGTTTGCCAGAGAGCCTAAACTCCAGCCTACCGTAGTGCTATAAGAGAAGTAGCGAGTTTTTAGACTTGAGTTGAATCGAACAAATTTTTTATTGCCGTATCGGAGCTGTTCCAGACTGTCATTCTTCCCATGCTTATCGACTCACACTGAGTTATCCATTCTTTTCACTCCATCGTTCACGACCGGAAAAACGGTCACGCATATCTATTGCGAATGCGTTTTCGCCGAATAATTAACTATTCTCCATACATTTATTGCATTTACAAAGAAGATAGTAATTTAATAGAGAATAATTGACAATGTGTACGTATCGTACACGATAGGTATGATTTTAGTCTAGAACAGCTCGACTCCGTGTACATAAGCAGCACCATACGCGAGCTTTCGGACGCAGCATCTAGACAAAAGGAAAAAGTAACGAGAAATAATGGAATTAGAAGCAGAACGCGCGAAAGAGACTTGTCGCGTCGGCTGTTTTTTCGAGGTTTCTCCGAGTTGTTCTCGATCATTTTGCCAATTAATTTTTTGAAACGAATATTTTCCGCGACGTCGTTTGATTCGATCGAGTACTATCTCGATTCTTGATTTTTGATTTTCGACTTTCGTTGATTTTCTTTTCTCTGTCGCGACGACGTAAAAAGAAAGAAAACAGAAGAGAAGATTGTGATGCGACAAGTGTCGATGCGGCGCTCGAAGGCCACTCGTACGGTTCAGTTTTGGGCCGTGTTCCGTTCTTCTACTTAGTGACACATACACCTTGCGTACATGGATAGCGTAAGAGGTATTTTTTTGAGTCCTATACACAGATTGCTACAACAGATTTACATAACACGGTTCATAGAAAAAGATTGAACGCGTCACGCGAACCATATTTTTACGATCGCTCGAAAAATCTTTTTGATAATACGTATCCGTATAGGGTAGATTCTTTTTTATTACGTATTTATATACATAGAAGTACACACGCACTGACATACACCACGTAACACGGACATGCATTCACACGCTCCCGGACACGTACACACGTGCTCACGTGCACACACGGATAGACGGGGCGGAGAAGAGAGGATGGGTGCGAGAGAGGTAGATATATATATATATATATATATATATATATATATATATATATATACACACAATAGATATAGACACGGACAGAGACAGGCATACATACGATACCAGAGACACACACCCGCATACACACGCGCGTGCGCGCGCAAACACGTCGGTAACATACGTATGGATTGTGTTGGTTGTGTTTAAGAGTGAACCGGTGGTTACAGTTCATCGTTAATAGGAGATTATAGCATTTTGACTTTCTCACTATCTAGATATTGTTTCGTTTAATTTGACGCGAAATCAAGCAAGACGAGAGAGAGAGTAGTAGAGGTTTGCGGTTGAGAAAAGCTTGTTATAATATTACAAGAAGATCGTAGGCTTTGTCCATGAACGAATTTTAGTCACTACGTTCAAGACTGGTCGTACACGGCTGATTCCCAACCACGTCGAATTTGATTATATACTGGAAAATCTGAATTGATTATACCGATATTTTTGTAGAGACCTTGTCGTGGTACGAGTCTTCTTTCTGCCTTCATACAAGTGCTCGCGCTCCAATCTAATTCACCCGTACATATATATACATTTATATATATGTATATTATTCTTGTATCAACGTACAATCGTACAGTCGTACACAGGTATATACATATATGCATGCGCATGTGCACCGATGCACTCACGCACGCATTCACGCACGCACGCAGCCAGACATAGGCACGTACCCACGTAAACGTACCACCACTTGCTCGGGACTCGTGCTCGAACACGTACACGTACACGTACACACAACAACACCGTCGCTACAAAGCGTAGATACGCGAATACAGGATGAAATGTGCGTGCGTGCGTGCGTGCGTGCGTGCGCGCGCGCATTTCTACACAAGCGTACACATGTATGTGTACAGGAGAACGTAGACGCGCGTTATACGAATATAATATAATAATACATGTTGGTAATTGTGGAAGCTCGATACTCGGTACTCGGTACTAAAAACGGTTGGTACTTGTTCAAAAAGTTTACGGTTTAGCTTATAATCGAAAAACTTATAATCGATCGTCAAAATTGACCAGTTTTCATGAAAGCGACCAAACTCGGCTTTTTCGATCGTTTTGTGAATCCTGGATTTGCCTTTTCGAAAGATTATATAATTAGATATCGAAGATCGGTGGCGCGCGTTCGGTCAACCAGCAACTGCGCGTCTATACTATACATTATACAATACGTGTACATATACTTTTTAACGAGTACATTGGAACTCGTTCGCGCGTACGCGCATACATACGTACGTACACGGGGTTGCGTATCTCTGCAGGCTTGCATGCATGTACGAATGCACGTGCGCGCATTTATGCACGTACGTGTACATATACAGACGTATATAGATTCTCGCGTGCACTCGGTCGCGAAAGAAACAATATACGATACGACGGATGCCTTGTCACCGTTTCGTGTTTTCGACTAGGATTCTGATTTCGAATCGTTACGATAAAGAATAAGAGCGTTTTGGAGCATGCACCTAGCAACAACACGAACGATTGATGAGCATATTACCCGAGTATATCTATACAGAGAACGTACACGCGCGCACAGAAGGTACTCGGACGCGAACACACACACACACACACACACACATACGCACGCACGCACGCACGCATACGCGCACACGTTGATCACAAGGGACATAGGACACGACAGGAGGACATTGACACAAATGTAACGTAATCGTACAGTGTATTGCCTTTGTTAAATAGCATTCGGATAAAGCCATATTTTTCCATGCAATGCAATAATCCAGCAAAATAAATTACCGTAATTGTGAAACAGCCTAAAATAGGGAAGAGTGCCAGATAAAACAGAGAAAAAGAATGAGAAAGAATAGGAAGGAAAAGAGAAGAAGAGGGTGGGCGGGGGGGGAGAAGGGGAGAAAAAGGAATGAAAAGAAAAAAGAGAGGAAGGAAGGACGCGAACGGAGGAACGGCGAGGAGAAGCGCCGAACGTAAAAGGGAGAAGAATACGTGGGCGAAGGAAAGGGAGGAAAAAAGAGGAGTAGGAGAAGACGAAGGAGGAGAAGAATAATGGGCGTGATCGATGTAAAACGATTTCCTACCACTTAGAACATATTTGCCTTTTATTCTGGCCTCGTGATAAATCCTCACTTTATTTATACTCGACAATATACTGGATACCGTGCGAAGGAACGACTAAATTAGGATAGGAAACTTGATGAACCAATGATTTCTCGCGGTACACTGCGAGTCCTAAAATTCCACCTCGTTCGCGTGAATCGTTGCGAACCCGGAACTTTGGGATTTTCTGGAATTTTCGATTCGTTTCCTACCCTACATTTATTCTCTCTCTCTCTCTCTCTCTCTCTCTCTCTCTCTCTCTCCCTCCTTATTTCCCCCCTTTCTCTCTCTGTCTCTCTCTCTCTCTCTCTCTCTCTCACACACACACACATAACACACACTCTCTGTCACTCTCCTTGGCTCTCTCGCTCTCACTCCACGTCCTCTCTTGATCTCGATCAAACGAGTAGCTGTGCGACGCGTGGTGCTCCTTTACCTTTGTCTTCTTTGCGTTGATCCTAATCCCTGCTTCTTCCAAGACACGCTCTTCCTTATTTTCCTTGCCTCGTTTCGTCGCCGTGACCGCGAACGAATTCTCTGTAAAAGAGTGTACGAATCAACGTATAGAAAGAAGAAAAACGGGAGAGGAAAGCGAGGGTTGTTGCGGTTTTTGGTCGCGTTCCGATCAGGATCAAAAACAAAGTAAACGCGCGAGAGCAAGTAAACGAGAGCGAGAACAAGCGACGAGGTAGCGTTTTTATCGGCGTGTACAGCATTGTTGCTTGAAAAAGTTCGTATCGCGTGAATCATCGTTCAAAAAGTTCCAGTTGACAAAGGTTTTATACAGATCTATTAAAAACCAGTATTTCAAACCAATGAAGAATAATTAGTTTTCTAATAATAAACAGTACATTTTACGTGAACTTAGAAACAGTGCTTAAGTCAGTAATGCTCAGCGTATGTAACAAATATTTTTAGTGGAAATCCGTGTCATACTCACGTGAATTATAATGCCCTTAAAATATGTAACTAAACTAAATTAAACTAAACTAAACTAAACTAAACTAAAATAAAGTAAAATAAAGTAAAATAAAATAAACTAAAACTAAACAACAATCAAAGAAGCATGGACGATACTTGACGACTATTATTAATATAGACGTTTTCTTAGGAATACATAGATCGTAGCCATTTTGAGGCAGTTTACGTTATATTTAATTATTACTCTTTTATGGCGGTATTATTATTTGTAGATAGAATTTGCGATTATACTTACTGCGATGATCGGTCGATGATCACTATAATTAAGGTTTCTTTTTACAGTTACCGAGATCAATGTCCTGCGAACGACAAGAAACTCGATCGATCGGTCTTTCGTTCCTCCACTCTGCGACGTGGTATTTCTTCGTCTCCTCTTGTCCTTTCGAAATCTTTGATCCTCCGTCGCTCGGACGGAAGAAGAAACTCTGCGAGAGTCGATCGCGAAATTGCCCCAACCTTTTTGCAGCGGATCCTTGTTCTCCATATATATATATATATATATATATATATATATATATATATATATATATATATATATATATGTGTGTGTGTGTGTGCGTGTATAATTGATCGGTCGATCGGTTCCTTGGTCGTATCGGAATCGCGAAGAACGTTCTATAGATATTTTTCGACGAAATCACAAACCTATAAAAAGAACACGAGTAAAAGTCCAATTTTCTAAACGCAGGTTCCTTAAGACTAACGAACTCTCGACGCGACCGTTGCAACAGGTTGCGACAGTTTGCGACAAGTTGCACGCGCCCGACGATCCGCGCATACACCGATGCGATTATCCTGCATATATATCGTATATACGTGGCATCGCGTCGAGCGGGAATCGCCATTGAAACGCCTCGTGCTCCTTCGAAATTGTATTCTCCGTTTGTTTTCGATCGGGACGACCGCGCACCACCGCTCGACGCGATACGCCCGTCGAGAATGCACGGCCACGGATGTCGTTGCCGTTCCCGTTGCCGTTACTGTTGCAAATAGACGAATAAAAATATTAGCGATTAGCAACGAAACGTTAGGCGAGTCGCGAAGCGTCGCGTATGCGCGTTGATCGCGGTCGCGGTCGTTGACGATGAAGAAAATGCCGGCGGTGCGCGTCATCGTTCGAAACAAATCGAAAGAAGAAGGGAAAAAGAAATTCAGAATGATATCGACTCGCTTTTTTTGTTTTGGTTTCCGCTTCGGTTACCGTTTCTAGTTCTTATTCCGCTCGTTTTTACAGTTTTAGCGCCGATCCGAGAAACAAGGAGACGCGAACACGCAGGACAAAACCGAACAAAAAACAGACTAGAATAGATAATAGAGTGTAGGATAGAATAGAGAAAATAGGACAAAACAGAACAAAATAGAACAGAATAGAACGGAACAAAACAAACCAGACCAGTTCAGAGTATGTAGGTAAAGAGAGGGTGAGAGGGGAGAGAGAGAGAGAGAGAGAGCGCGCGCGCGAAAGAAGAAAAAGGTAGATAGAAAAGAGAGAGATAGACGATGCGGCGATCGTTTCAGCGATTACCGATCCGATTTTGAGAGGAAGCATATTGCGATCGTACAGTCTTATTATATCCAGAATATCGACCGATTTTCTTAAGCGAGATCATTCGGTAAAACAACGTCGTAGCAACAGTAATAAGCGTTCGAAGTTTCGAATCGCAACATACATGCACTTCTGTACAGAATTTTTCGTAGGTTGCGACGATTTTCATGAAAAAAAACTCAGCACTTGTCGGCTTCGTGAAATTAAAGTATTGTTGTTTCATTTACGTATAAGCTGTACGTTAAGGAAAAAAAATTGCTTATAATTTTAGGGTCGTGTAACGTGTGTTAGCGAAGCATGCTTCTAAGTAGAAAGATAGGACAATGCTATAACAATAATTATTATAATTAAAGTGAGTTAAGAGTATAAGGCATTTAATAAGTGCAAAGTATTTCTTAATAAAAGTACTTCCAAAAACGAGAAAGTGTACAGATTGTTTGAAGAGTCCTCTATCTATCGTACGCGCGCGTCTCTTTCCAGAGATATCTCGAACCGCGTCGATCGACCGACGCACCTGGTTACCGGACGCGAATTCGCGTGGACGAAAGACGAAAGAAAGTAGAAGGATGATCGGACGACGCGACGGTTCCCCGGCAACACCGGTTGTTTTCAACTCCGACGATCGGCGAGAGTCGAAACGTTATCGAGTGTTCGACCGTTCGAAAAGCGTGCCTCGGGTACACGTGGTCGTATGGTATCGTCGTCGTATCTCGCGCGAGATCGCCTCGAACCGGAAACTGAATCGCGAGCTCGATCGTCGCGTCGACGCGCCGCGCGACTCGACGCAACGCGACGGTCGACTCGATTGCCAAGGAAATCGCGCAACGGGGCGTCGTTTCGAACGTAGGATATTTTCAACGAGATTCTCGGGAGAGCCGAGGAGATCGGAAACAAAGACCGCGTATCTTGGTTCCGATCGCGAGGACCGCGCGGTTCGCCGTCACGCGGACGAGAAGAAAGGCGAGAGAGAAAGATAGAGGGAGAGAGAGAGAGAGAGAGAGAGAGTGAGAAACGAGGGAGAAACGCGAGCAAAAGTACCCGCTGCGAAAATTTCTGCGAAGCAAAAATTGCGCAGTTGTCGCGAGCGAACGAGTCGGTGCGCACGCTCCCGCGCGTTCCCTTTGTGTTATTTTCGGGCGGAATCACCGTTTGAAGCTTTAAATAGGACCGACTTTCCGACCGAGAAGACAGTTTGTAACACAACCGGTTCTATATGGTGGAGCATCGAAGATTATTCACTGTGAGTAAACAACGTCGAAATGTGGAACGGCGATCGCGTCGGGAAACGTCATCCGTCGTGTTTAACCCGTCCGAAACGACCGAGAGAATCGTCCAAGAGAATTCGCTTTCCGCGACGACGTCGACGACGACGACGACGACGACGACGACGACGACGACCCGTGATTCGTTTTCGTAACGGAGTTCGCGTCACGCCGTTTTTTTCCTCGAAGCGGATCTCGGCTTCCTCGAGGAAGAAGCGTTCGCGAAGCGCGTTCGAGTTTCAACGACGATTCGAACTCGCTCGGACTAGATTCAATGGTCGATGAAATAGACGCGAGATCGTCGCGTCGAACGAAACCACGGTCCCGCGATCCGAGAGGATCGATCGAAATCGTCGGGAGAAACGCGAGGTCCATCGCAGCCGAGAATAAGCCATCGGGTCGGTCGCGATCTCGATCGATTCGCGGTTCCGTTATCATCGCTAAATTTGTGTCGCCGTCTTGGCAGAGTTTCGGCGTTTCGATCGAGATTTCGATTGTTCGATCCAACTAGATTCGATTCGATTCGATTCGATTCGAATCGACTCGCGAGGCGCGAAACTCGAACGGCCCTCGACTTCCGGCGCGCGGCAACGCGGCGCGCCGTGACGTCGACGGCTCGCGCGGAGCTTGCGACAACCTTTTTCTGTATTTAACGATGACCGAACACGAGCAGGAAGAACGAGGAGAACCGAGATCGAATCGAATCGAATCGAATCGAATCGAATCGAGACGACAACGATCGCCGATTCTGATCGTCCGTGTTATGATTTTTCCTTTCCGGTGACGACGCCCGTAGATGCCGACCGAATGCATGGCGAGCCCGTTGCAGCGCGAACTAGCCGACTCCATAATACGGTTGAAACCGCTCGACGAGATCCGTATTCTGCTGGCGTGCGGGGCGAAGGCGAACGAAGCTGTCACTCAGGGCTTGAGGCCGCTGCATTACGCGGTGTGGCAAAAGTACACGGAAGCGGCCCAATTGTTGTTGGTGCGCGGCGCGGACATAGACGCGACCGACGAATGCGGCTATTCCGCGTTGCACCTCGCCGCCGAGCACGGCTACGTGGACTTGGTGAAGCTTCTGCTCGACCACGGTGCCAAGGTCGACCATCGAGCGGACACCGGGGAGCTTTTCCCAAGGTAGAATTTTCGATCGCGCCGAAACGATCTTCTCTCCTCTTTCGCTTCCTCGCGCCCGTCGACGATCGATCGGCGACCAAAGCTTTCCATAGGAAGGAACGCTTGTGTTCGTGGACGGAAGAAGCGAATCGGACGAAGGACGGTCGCGTCGGCGAAAGAGATATCGCGATCGGTGAAAGAGAATCTCGCTTGATCGCGCAGGACGACGATGTGCGACGAACCTCTGCGGCTCGCTCTGAAAAATCGGCACGTCGACGTCGCGAGAATCCTGTTGGAAGCTGGCGCGAACCCGAACAAACGTTATTTCTTCGGTTCGGAGATCAATCTGGTCTCGCCGTTGGATCTGCAATGCATGGAGCTGTTGCTGGCGTTCGGGGCTCAACCGAACACGAGGGATCGCGCCGGACTCACGCCGTTGATGAAAGCCTCGAGATTGCCGCAGGTAAATCTTCTCGTCCGAGCCGCGACGATTCTCGGTATCCTTTCGAATCAGCGGAGAACGTTCTCGCCGACAGGGCATATCGTCCGTGTTGCTTCTGTTGAGCTACGGCGCGGACGTGAACTCGATGGCGGACGCGAGACACGACTACCGGACCGTTCTCCACTACGCGATCCTCGGCGGTGATCCGACGGTGATCGATCTGCTCCTGAAGCAGGGCGCTCGACTGGACCTCGGGCCCGAGTATCAAAAGCCGACGGCTCTCGACTTGGCCATTCTCAAGGGGGATCCCTCCATCGTTCGGATGCTGTTGAGATCGGGTGAGTTTAAGCGCGACGCGACCACCCCCGGCATCGTTTTCCTACGGGCCTTCGAACGGATGATCGCGAATTCGATGCGTCTCAGGTGCCGACGTGAACGCGACGTCGCCGATCATCGGTTCCCCGCTCCACGTCGCCTGCGCGGACAACATTCCAAACAGACTGGAGATCCTGACGATGCTGTTGGAGCGAGGCGCGGACCCGAACCTGGTGATACGCAGCGACGAGGGCCCGGCGTTGCGTCCGGTTCTGGCCGAATACGTAGCCTCGAACGAGAACCCGTCGGTCCAGGTGGTGGCGCTCTTGCTCAAGTACGGTGCCCGGGTCGTGATCAAGACGCAGTTCCGCGACCCGCACGGCATACTGAACTCGCTCCAGAACACGGCGAACAAGCCGCGGCTGCTGAAGGCGTTGCTGGAAGCGGCGGAGAGCTTCGATCCTTGCATGATACGGAGATCGAGCAGCCTGACGGACGCGCAGAGGGCGATCGTGATGGAGGCGGCCAGAACTCCGTTGCCTCTCACCCATCAGGCTAGGTTGATCGTCCGGAAGCTGTGCGGCACCAAGTTGCCCAAAATCGTTCACAAACTTCAGCTGCCGCAATCGCTGAACCGTTACCTGCTCTACGACTTCCATTAGGTTTTTGCCAAGCTTTGCCGACCCCGCGGAATAGCCGCTATCGAAGCTGCCGTTGCTTCCGAACAATTCGCCGCGGCGACCGATCGCGGCGCGGGCCCGTGGGCCCGTAGGCCCGTAGGCCCGTAGGCCCGTAGGCCCGTAGGCCCGAAGGCACGGGACGGAGGACGCGAAGCGCGCGGTGCAAACCGCGGTTCGTTTCCACTTTCTAGTTTCCAATTTCCAGCCGCTTTTCCCGATTCCGACCGCGTCGCGCTGTCCGCCGAACCGACGCGACGTCGGGTCGAAAATCTGCCGCCGCGTTTCGGAGTCTACGAAGAAACCCGGCTTTCGAAGAGAAACTCTCGCCGCTCGCTCAAATTGTCGTCGCCTCGAAAGGTTGCCTGCCGTTCGTCGCATCACCGTCCACGTTTTTACTCGTTTCGCTTGAATCGACGCGCGACGGCTCTTTCTACGCCTGTCGCGTCGACCGGTCGATCCTGTAAACGGAAATGGAAAGAAACATCGAACGTAATTTTCTACTTATACGCGGTATCCATCCAACGAATTCGTCGTTACACCCAACGTTACAACTATGCGCGTATGTATATTCGGGAATACGTATTCTTCGCCTGTTTACGACAACGCGTACAACGACCATGTACAGCCCGATCGAGACAACCGCCTCGACGATCGAACCAATAAAGGATAACTGGAGGAATACCTCGTTTCTATACTCTTTACTTTGTAGTTTATCGAGCTCGAGCAAATATCGTCTTATGCGGCATCGTCCGATCTGTCGCAAACTTGCCTCGCGACTAAAATACTCGATGATACGTCTACCGGTATATCTACATACTAACAATAAGCTGCACGCGTACACGGCCGAGTTTTTCTGCCCTGGGCCATCTTTCCGAAACGAAACGCTTGCGACTTGCGGCGAATTGACGTCATTCGAATGACGAGCATTCTCTGTCTTTGTCTTTTCTGTTGGCATTTTGATCGATCGTCGCATTATTTATTTTACGCGCGAAAGTGTTTCTCAATGCGCATACGTATACCGTATACTGTGATATAGTCGCTGACACGCGCGATCGTTGAAATACCGTGCACCCTGTAGAATCATCGGGTGCTAGCGATTCTACGTTACATCTATCGAAGCAACCAATTTTATTTTGATCGCGATACGAGTACCGTGTTATTTGGTACACGGAACGAACGCAACATCGGGACCGAAAACGATTTAAATTTACCGCCACCGATCGACTTGTAGCGCCTCTTGCGGCGAAATCTCGAAGCTCCTTTCGGCGTTCGTACAGCGCCAATTAGTCCGGTGGTNTAAAATACTCGATGATACGTCTACCGGTATATCTACATACTAACAATAAGCTGCACGCGTACACGGCCGAGTTTTTCTGCCCTGGGCCATCTTTCCGAAACGAAACGCTTGCGACTTGCGGCGAATTGACGTCATTCGAATGACGAGCATTCTCTGTCTTTGTCTTTTCTGTTGGCATTTTGATCGATCGTCGCATTATTTATTTTACGCGCGAAAGTGTTTCTCAATGCGCATACGTATACCGTATACTGTGATATAGTCGCTGACACGCGCGATCGTTGAAATACCGTGCACCCTGTAGAATCATCGGGTGCTAGCGATTCTACGTTACATCTATCGAAGCAACCAATTTTATTTTGATCGCGATACGAGTACCGTGTTATTTGGTACACGGAACGAACGCAACATCGGGACCGAAAACGATTTAAATTTACCGCCACCGATCGACTTGTAGCGCCTCTTGCGGCGAAATCTCGAAGCTCCTTTCGGCGTTCGTACAGCGCCAATTAGTCCGGTGGTAAAACGCTGAAACTACTAGCCAAAATTACCGACAGCTGATTTTGGCTAACAGTTTGAGCGTTTTGCCATCGGACTAATTGGCGCTGTACGGACATCGTTCGGAGCTTCAGTTTTTCTCCGGAAGAGGCGCCACAATCGCCCACATATAAACAACGCAAGATAATTTAAATAACATTGATTGTGTCAAAATTAGAGCATAAACAACCGAACCAAGGGTACGGAATTGCTCAGGAGAATCTACCGTGTCGATACCGCGTTAAAAAACTAAACGACAATAACGCAAAATATCATTTAGTTAACATAATAGTTGACCAAACTTCGAAGAACAATTTAACTACGTTTCGCAATATTGTCACTTGTTTTTGCATACGATATCGACAGAGTAGATCCTCCTGAAAAATGTCGTACCCTCGGTTTAGTCTTCTGTGCCTTAGTTTTCCCAAAATTAATGTTTTCAGTCGACCTCGCAGTAGGCAGGTAGGGCGACTATGGTGAACAATCTCTTTTGGCAAGAGAATTTTCTAGAAACTGGACTGTTCCCATTATTGTTGCATACGATAGATATTGTCAGGATCGAAGCTTTGTATGTCGTATCAGAATTCCATATTTCCTTATACGTAGAATTTAGTCGAAAGTAAATTGCAAAAATTTAGGTATAAGTATAAAATAGTTTGTACTCGTTTCATGTTCTCTGTGTAACAAGGAATGAAGGGAAACTTATGTGGGTCTCCTCATTGAACCAGCAGCTGCATTGCTAGTCACCGATGAATTACTGACAAAAATTAGTTATTGCTACGTCTCTATGTCACTTTATTGATTAATCACTTTACACTAAAATGTAACAATTCTCATTTCGGAGCTGTTGAACATTCTTCGTAGTTTGATGACTAACGAAAATTTTCTTGAAACGAATGTAGGCGTCCAGAGTTTTATTTACAATCCACGCGTGCAACATTGTACAAGTGATTTATAACAAGAAATTAGCATGGATCAATTACATACATGTTATCGGTTACCGAACGGATTGTTGTCGAAAAAAGATACAAATCAGGAAAGATAATTAGCTTTCGCTGATATTAACAAAGAACATATACGTATACATTTTACATATCGAGCTTGTACACCATCCGATAGTGTCGTCAATAAATAAAACCAAATATATTTTACATATAATACATTTCTGTATCATGCACATTAATTAATTGTGAATAGAAAAATGGTTAATTTATTTTATACGTATACCGGTAGCGTATACTGTATACATCGTAGAATACTTGAAAATTTAAATTCGGATCAATGATAATTATGAGAATTATTTTTTAAAATTATACCTTATGTATATGTATGCGAGTACATGCATAGGCTACTATATTTTTTTAGAACGATTATGAAGGACAAACGTGCACTCGAAAAAGATACTTAGTTTGTTAGTGTTGGTCCACCTAAAAAGTATTTTTAATATGTATATGTATATGCTGATAAACGTATACCGTTTCGATACGTATACTTTTATGCCATAATTTTCAAGTTGTCATCAAGTTCGAGAAACGGTAAATATGGCTGATGAAAAACTGGTAAATCAAGT